TTATTTTGATATATCACAGTGAAAGATTTATCGTCCTCTTTTTTATTAATTTGGAATTATTTTTTTTAAAAAAAAAAAAAAAAAAAAAAAAACCTCCAAAGGCATTGGTTGTTATTCATATGAAATTAGGGCAGCAGTTGAAATTCTAAAAGCCCATTTCTGGCAAGGTAGCAGTGAAATGGACAAGTAAGGCTTTGCAATGAGAGTTAAAATAATTGAGGCAGTATACCTGAGAGTGCTAAGTTACTTTTTGAAAAGTAGTGGTATTGATAGCATACTCTGGATATGTCTGCCTTATGGATGGCAGCTGAGAAGTAATTAAATTTTATGGGAATTCAAAATGGCTTTTTATTTTGCACGTGTCTGAAGTAAGCACAATTTTAGTACAGTCAACAGAAAGCAGAATGAATGGGAGGACTCAGTTATTTAAAATATGTCTTTAAATTGAACAGGCCTAAAAAAATTGACAAACTCAGTATAGTCAGAACTATTTTGTAAGTATAATCAACATTTTTATATATGCCATTCATTCCATCTGTTAAAGTTTGCCATTGAGTGATTTAAATATTTTCAGACCAGATTTACTAGAAGTCATTAAAAACAAGAAACAGATTGATTACAGTATAAAAACTATAGGGTAGTATACTGAACTGTACAAAAAAGAAAACTCACACAGCAGTTAAGAGCTGCTTAAGCTTACCTAAGGCAACATGTTGACATTTCTCTGTTGAATTGATTTTTTTCATTGTTTTATTTGTATATATGTATGGTGGAGAGGGTGGAGGTGCACACATGAGTTTGGAGGTCAGAGAACAACTTTCTAGGGTTGGTTTTCTTCTATCTTGGGTTCCAGGAATTGAACTCAGTTGTGAAGTTTGCATGGCAAGTGCCACTACCTGCTGAGCCATCTTGCCTGCCCTGAATTAGCTTTTGAATGGATTTCAGTAGGCATTTTCAAGCTTTTTGACTTTCAGTTCTTATAGAGCTGGGTTACCTCATCCCACACAGAATTCATTTATTGATTGTAGATTGGACCTCCAGTCTGATAAATTATGTACCGATTTAACAGGACTTCATCTCTACTTGTAAATATTTATCTTCATTTTTTTTCATTACCCTATTTTCAATTAAATAGTCAACAATCATATGTGTGGGGGATATAATCCACTATTTTGTTTTACAGGCAAGTTATTCCAGCAAAGAGTAAAGTCTACGACAGCCAAGGCCTCCTGATTTTCAGTGGCATGGACCTCTGCGACTGCCTTGATGAAGACTGCTTAGGATGTTTCTACGCGTGTCCAGCCTGTGGGTCTACCAAATGTGGAGCTGAATGCCGCTGTGACCGCAAGTGGCTCTATGAGCAGATAGAAATCGAAGGAGGAGAAATAATCCATAATAAACATGCTGGGTAATTTACGGTAGCAAATGTGGGGTCTTTAAAAATCTTCTCTTTCTCTTTCTAAAATTCTGTCGCTCTAAAATGCAGTTATAGCCTGATTATCAAATAATAAATTTGTAAAACACCTCTAAACTTGGCTTACATTTGGGGTGCTTTGCAGTTCATTATTGGATATAAATTTAGATGGGTTGTTTCTCAGGAGTCAGCTTTAAGCCTATCTCGGTCAGTCTAACAAGTGTAGGTAGTCTTCAGTTTTCAGGGTTCCCATGTGCATAAATTTCAGTAACTATGGTTTAATTGAATCATATCAATCTCATAGCAGCCTGATTCAGTTATACTTGCTAGTACTTGCATGAAGTACTAGCTCACTAGTCCTGTAATCAGTGTGTAAATAGCAGCTGTGCTTGGTGCTCTGTGATCAGTTGTATTCCTTCTTTTACATTCTGCCAGTGATTGCTCTCTATACACCTGTTATTTGATTCACTTACAGCAAAGCATATGGTCTGTTATCTCCTTGTCACCCATATGATACTTTGCAAAAATGATCATTGAAAGAACTGGCCAGCAAAGAAAGTGCAGCAAAGAAATGAGCAGTGCTAATCTGGAAGTGAGACTTGGATCAATCGTAAATGGAGTTATAGAAGCTTATAGAAGCCGGCACTGGTCATGAGCATGTTGATACCTTGCTGTTCCAGAGACTAGATACGCATCAGAGGAACTTGGTGACCGAAACTTACCAGCATCACTGAGGAAAGTGGCTGTGATGAAAAGGATGGATGTGACTGACATTAAAGGATAACTATTGTAAAGAAAGAAATACTTCACAACATTGAAATGACTGAAAAGATTCTTATTCTGTATGTTATGAACAGAACAGACAAGCACTATTCAGACTACTGTTGATTTTTGGCAATAAAACACTCTAATTCTCAATGCATAAACTTTTATCTTCTTATGCATTTATATTCCAAGTTGTTGGTACTTTGACCAATTTTAAAGGTCATGAACCAGCCATCATTGATTTTTAACACTGTTTTGCATGCCATTTTTCTGTGCCCCATATGACTGTACAGTATACCTTGCCATTCACTGAGACCAAGGCCTACTTCATGGAAAATTGATTTATATGCAACAGTGGAGTTGAATGTTAAAGTATTTTGAAAATAGTCTATATGCCTTCATGCTAAAATGCAGCTTTTTTTCTTCCAACTTCAAATAAAGATAAATGCTTCAGTTCAATGAGCTTCTCATTATTAATACTTTAATACTCTTTGTGAAAATTTCTGGGGACAGAACCTTTCTTCTTTATGTATAAAGCATGAGGCTGCATATAGTATATGAGTAGATACCATTATATCTGTAGTATTAAAATTGTATGGGGCGACTGATTAGGTTTTAAATTGTTCCTTAAGGGAGAGGTACTGCTAAACATGTTGAATAAAAATGAAGTTTGGGGTATTGATTGACTCTTGGTATGAGATTTTGCATGAGTGCTCTATGGCCAGCAGGCTGCCTTCTCTGTGCTTTTTACTAATTAAAATTGAAACTGCTGTTTTTCTCTTGGGCTCTTATCATTTAGGACATAGCCATTAAACCAGGGTTGTGTTTTCTCTAAATTTCTTAATCAAAATGAGCATATTCTGTGGCCCCTGAAGCCAAATTTATGTAGCCAGTTTGAATTGACCATGAGAATCCATTTTTATGTTTATTTTTCCTTGTCTCTACAGATACTGGTTTTACTTTGATGGAATGCCACTTTCAACTTTGGAATTAAATGTATTTTTAAGTTACAATTTTTCTTTGATCTGAATATCAGAAGTCTAGTTTAGCTGATCAGTTCTATGATCTAAATTTCAGCTGCACAGGGTCAAAAGAAAAATTTTTAACTGTACTTGAGGCTGGATTGTTCTTTTTTCTGAATTAAGGTACAAGTAGAATCCTAAGAGTTTAAAATACCTAAACTCTTAAAACCATTTGATAGTATTTACTCAGTTTTTGCTTTGTATGAGTTAGGATTATATATTGCTTAGGCCCTTCAGAGAGACAAATTGGTGTGGTTTGGTTGTGTTGTGTTGTTTTGTTTCATTTGTTTTGTTTTGTTTGAAATTGGGTCTTGCTATAGCCCTGACTGGCCTGGTACTCATTTTGTAGAAACTCAGCAGTCCTCCTTCAGCCTTCCCAGTACTGAGATTACGTGCATGTACTACTACACTCTACCAAAATTAAAGTCTTAGGTGTTTATTTTTGCTTAAAATAGGAATATATTTCTGATGGATAAAATGACTATGTTAAAAATAGCTATATTTCAGCATTACTTAGAACTGATCTGTTCTTTTTTTAAAGACAGTGATAATTTTTCCCAAGGGAAAACTTCTTGAACAGTTTTGCTAATATTTGTTCTTCATGTCATTTAGGGGACCAAACAATGAGCATACCCAATGTTCATAGACAAAAGAGTATCTGATTTTGATGAGACCAATAAAGGCTATATTTTAGAAAAATATTGATGCAGTCTGTTTTTACTTTTATATGTGTGTTATGTACGAGTGTTGCCATGTATGGGCATGTGAGTGCAGGTGAGGGCACATGTGCATGCATATATGTTCATGTCAAGGCCTAAAGTTGATCTCTACTTTATTTTGCTGAGGCAGGGTCACCCTGCTGAACATAGAGCTCACTGGTTGGGCCAGCTAGCTAGCTTGCAAGAGGATCCCCAGCCTTTATCTTGGCTCTGGGATTACAGGTGGCCACCACACCCACAGAATTTTAATGGGTTCTGAAGTTCCAAATTCATCCCCACTTTTGCATGGCAAGCCTTTTATCCAACTGAGCCATCTTCCAAAGCCCCTTCCCCTTGTTACTATTTTTAATGCAAAAATATAGAAGTAAAGAATAAACCATCTAGATCCTTTTTATATTTTGGATAAAGTATATTACTTTTCTGTTGCTGTGATAATAACACCAACTAAAGAAACATAAAAGGAAGAGTTTATTTTGTTTATGGTTCCACAGGCTTAGCATCCATCATGGTGGGGAGGCATGGCAGAAGAGGGTGGTGAGGGCAGAAAGAACAGCAATCATATCTTCAAACAAGTAAAGCAGAGACTGGAAATCCAGCAAGGCTTAAGGCCCATTCCTCAGGGCCCAATCCCAGTGAGGTGCTTCCTCCAGCTAAGTCACACCTAAAATCTCCCAAAACAGTGCCACCAACTAGGTACAAAATGTCCAAATACTTGGAGTCTGTGGGAGACATTTTCATTCAAACCACCACATTCCACTCCCTGGCCTCTATAGGATCTATGACCACATAAAATGCAAAATGCATTTAGTCCACCTTCAAAAGTCCCCATAGTCTTTACCAGTCTCAATACTATTCAAAATTCCAGAATCCAAAGGCTCTTCTGAGACTCAAGGCAATCTCTTTAACTGTAACCCCCTGTAAAATCAGAAGACAAATTACACACTTCCAGCTTACAATGGAAGTGAATACACATTCCCATTCCAAACTGGAGGAATGGCACATACTAAGGAAGGACTCGACCAAAACAAGACCAAAAACCAGCAGCACAAACACAAAATCCAGTAGCTCATGTCCCACTTCTGGGACATTACTCCTAAAGGATTTAGATGGCTCAGCCCCTCCAGCCTTGCTGGGTATAACATATATCTCTCTTCTGAGCTGGAACTACTCCTTGTGTGTGCCTTTACTTGGCAAATGTCTCATGGCTTCAGCATCTTGGGGTCTCCACTGACAACCAGGCTTCACCTTCAGAGCTTCACACAATGGCTTGTCAGGACCTTCATTTGGGGACACCCCTGCTGCACACTGACCTCTGGTTCTCTGAAACTGGAGGAAGAACTAATAACCCTTCAGTCTTCTATCTTTCATGCCTCTAGAGCCAGTACCACATGAACAACACTACCAAGTTCGGCTGCCAGCCTAGGATGGGCCCTGGCCTACTTCACATTAGCAGCTTTTCTGTGCCGTGGTTTTCTAGGAGTAGAAAAACCCCTCCAGCATTTTCTTTCACACGTTGGGTGCTTAGTTGGATGTGGTCTTGCCTTGAAAGTACTCTTTCTATTGTTTAAGTACAAATCTTTAGACCTCCTTAAAGGCTTTAATCTTATCAAAGAGAGCCCTCCTTCAGCACATGCCTTGGTTCCAACATTAATCTTCCTGGTGCTCTTTTTCAATCTAATCTGTACATTCTGCATTTTTCTCCCTCACATTCCTTTTTTCACTGTAGATCTGCATAACATTCACCATTGATAGCCATGCCAACAATTCTACATTAGGCTGTTTTGAAATTTCCTCCACCAAAGAAATTGGTCCAGTACTTCTTAACTTAGCCTCAGGTAAGCACTTAGGCTGTGGGCAGACTGCAGCCAAATGCTTTGCCAAAACATCTCAGTTGCTGCTTAAGTCCTTATTTCCCTTTGGGACTACTTTACTCTCAGCACTATTTCTTCCAGGCTCCTACTAGAATGGCCTGTTAAGCTCTGCTTATGGTATTCAACTGCTTTTCTAGTCTAAATTTCCAAAGTCTTCCACGTTCTTCCAAAAACCCACATGGTCAGGTTCTTCACAACAGCCCACTCTCTGGTACCAACATATATTAGTTACTTTTCTATTGTGATAAAAACATTGACCAAAGTATAGAAGAAAAAGTTTATTTAGCTTACAGTTCCAGAGGGTTAGAGTCCTTTATTATGGGAAGGCATGGCAGGAGAGGGAGACGAGATCAGAAAGAACAATCATATCTTCAAAGCACAGGAAGCAGAGACCAGAAATCCAGCAGGACTTAAGAACTCTCAAAGCCTACCACCCAGTGATGTGCTTCCTCCAACTAGGCTGCAGGTCCTAAAACCCCCCAAAACAGCACCACCAACTAGGGACAAAATGTCCAGATACTTGGAGCCTTTGGGGGACATTCTCATTCAAACCACCACACAAAGTGACTAAATTGTTTTCAAATTCTATCAGTGTGGAAATGAAAGTTATATATTAAATACTTGTGCTTTTTGCAGACCCCATTACAGAAGCAAATGTAAGACTGATAATATCGGCTTTACATAATGTTGATCACAAAATAAAAGTAAAAAGACAAGTGAAAAGGGCTTAGGGATATAGCTTAGTGGTAGAGCTCTAACCTACAATGTTTGAGGCCCTGTGTTCAGACCCGAGCACATAAATAAGACATCCCCATGGTACACTGGAATTAACAGTAGTTGAAATAATAATAAAAGGTATGTAACTATTTGAACAAAACGTTATTGATAAGTATAAAGGAATACACTAGCAGGCTGGGGGAAGATGACTCAGCAGGTGAAGAAGCTTGCCACCGAGTCTCAGGACTGACTTCATGATGGAAGGATGGAGCCAACTCCATTAAGCTGTCCTTTAACCTCCACAGTGTTTCAAACCAACACACATACCCAAATAAATGTAATAAAATTTGTTATAGATACATTTGGAATATACATAAGTTTCTTTTATATTTAAAATACTAGGTCTAGGGCTGGAGAGATGGTTCAGTGGTTAAGAGCACTCACTGCTTTCACAGCTGACCCAAATTTGATTCTCAACACATGGGGAAGCTCAACATCCTATAACTCCAGCTCCAGAGGATCTGGCACTTTCTGGCCTCCATGAGCAAGTCCACTCACATACACACACCCACATGCAAACCCACACATATAATTAAATCTTAAAAAATAAAATACTGTGTCTAGTTCTATTTAACAAGCTGTCCCTCAACCTGACAGTCTTCTAAAACAGTTACATACTTCTAAAACTGGGTTTATGAAAGCAAGTGAATTTTGAACTCTTCATGGACATATATGTATAGTGATTTGTTAATAAAAATGTACATTTAGTAAGCTTATCATGTGTGCTGGTTAGTTCTTGTCAACTTGAAATAAACGTAGAAGAGGTTACCTGGGAAGAGGTCATCTCAGACTGAGGAATTTCTTCCATCAGACTGACCTGTGGGCATGTCTGTGAGGCTTTTTCTTGATTGCTAATTGATACAGGTGGGCCCAGTTCACTGTGGGTGGTGCCATGCCTAGGCAGAGCTGCATAAGAAAGGTAGCAGAATGAGAGCCTGGAAGCAAGCCAGTAAGCTGCCTTCCTCATGGTCTCTGTTTTATTTCATGCCTCCAGGTTCTTGGCTTGGCTTCCCTGGATAATGGACTGTGTGATCTGTAAGATGAAATGTCCACACGTACTCCACCCACCAAGTTGCTGTGATCAATGTTTTATCATGCAACCTAGAAGCATGACTTAATTTTTTGACAGAAGTTATGAACTACCTCAGAAAGAAGTATGCAATGCATGTGCTCACAAACTCTCATGTTTAGAATTCTGAATATATGTCGGAGTGCCTGGGTAACAAGAAATATTCTGTAAGCCGTAGAGATTTTAAAGTGAGGATTCCTATCCAGTTATTTGATATAGATTTGTGTGTGTGTGTGTGTGTGTGTGTGTGTGTGTGTGTGTGTGAACAACACATAACAGTTGAGTCCCTGAAAAAGTTGGAGTGTCCTCCCTGGAAAATCCAATTCCACTGTGTCCCCTGACAGTCATCCCACCTCCAAAAAGGTAATTACAAGTTGACTGACAGTGCAGAACACTGAGGTGTTGTTTCTGGGCTGACCTTTGATATTAAACATTTTCACTTGCATTGTGGTCATCCTGCTAAAAATAGCTTAATGTACTTCCTAAAAATTCACATGACACCTTGGTTTTTGCTGACATCTGCTGGTATCTCCTTGAAAATAAACTTCATTTCCAAATTAAGTTCAACACTTAATTATATAACAGCTGATGAAGTAAATATGGAAAAATAATAGTGATCCCCAAAGTAAATTAGTTTTGTCTTTTGTTTGTTTTGAAATGGTGTTTCATTCTAGTCCAGCCTGGCCTGAAATTTGTGATCCACCCAGCTCTGCCTCCCAGGTGCTGGGATTTCAGAGAGGTACCACCACACCCAGCACTTCTGTTTGTAGCATTCTTAAATCTTGCCCAGCAGCAACTATATTGGCTTTTACTCTTAGGAA